TGAAATGTGGGCTTAAGTTTTGCTATCCCCACATGGTTTGCAGTGGTCTATCTCCTTGACTTCATGCGGGATATATTCTTTTCCATTTCCTATAATAAATATGAGAAGGAGAAGCAGACATAGAGAAATTGCTTCCCCTTAAATAATACTGCCAACTCTTTCTTTCCCCAACCATTAATCAAAGCCGACAGATTGCCCAATTTGAACAGAGGTGGGAAGTAAAACATTTAAGAGTCCTTTAATTTAAAATACAAACCAAAACCTGTAACTTTTACTTCATTGTGTAGGTTGTCACCATAGTGCTTTTACAACTTTTGTGTAGGTTGTTTAAAAATTGCTATGAGCCACAAGCCTTGAAATGAGAAAAGGAACACTAACCAAAGCTAATGTACAAAATATTTATTTTTGACAAACAGCCATTCTGTGGACAAGTTTGCGTAAGCTATGTAAAGTATTAAATACTGCTGATGAGGTTTAATGGATGGTATTTCAGGTAGGTGTTGGAACCTTAAAGAAAGGGGAAAAAAATCCCATCCCGATAAGCAGATTAAATGCCTCTGTTTTCAACCTAATGGGTCAACTAGTAGTTACCATTCCAATTAGGGTCTCTTTGCAACTTTATGTGAATCATTGTTTTGCAAAAACACAGGAAAGTTCTCATTTTTCAGCAAATAGAACAACTTCTAATATGGTGAGTTTCTAATGATGACAGTTGCCATTAAATAAATAACAGAAAATATCTTTGAAAACAGAGGCTTTCTATTTTATTATTGATTGATTGGTATTTACCAGTTCAAGGATTTCAGTTATAAATATCTATGTAAAATAAAACCTTTATATTAGATATAAAAACCAATTTTTTGAGGGACTAGATTATCATTACTTGACCAAAATGTATCTCTCTTTGTAAATATATATGTATATATACATACATATATATTCATATAGAAAAGTATGTGTATATATTCATATATGTGTGTATATATAATTATATATATGAATCTCTACATTTTATGCTTTGAAGTGGGAGAAAAAAAGACCAAGACTTCCTGCTTACAAATATAAAGAAAACTATGAAATGTTTTTGGATAATTTTAATTCTTTTAAGTGCACAATTTTGTCCGCATCTGGCCTTCTGTACAAAAGTATCTCCAGTGGACTTTGATCTGGGTATCACTTTCCATACTTGAAGGGAGTAACCAAACTCTAAATTATCAAGATGCTTATACATTTCGGATTATGCACATCTTAATTCTCCTCCTTCAAACAACTGCCCAAACATTGCTAGTTTTATACATATTAGCTATTAAAGGTGGACAGAAAAATAAGAGAAGGCAAAGGTCAGATTAGTGAATTTTCTTATTGATTACCTAAAAACTTCTGTTAATGGGAGAACAAGATTGAAACAATGGAATATAAAGGAATTTGGAGTTAAGTTGAACATTTTGAAGTACCCAATTTTCTGCCTCTACTAACTGATGTTATCATAAAGAAGGAATCAAATATATAATTTTAAGTCACTAACTAAAGATTCAGATTATTTTCCGAATTCATTTCCAAAACTCTCCCACACTAGCAGTTGATTACGAGGCATTGTCCTTTGATTTTGTAGTTTGCGATGTATCTGTTGGGTGATTTCTGCTGTTGATTACTACCTGTGTCATTGTGTTTATGTTGTGTGGCGGACTCACTTCGTATTCCTCATGAGCTGTATGCACATTTTGGTATTCATATTTATTATGTTACTGTCTGATATTTTAATATTGGCAAATGTTTGCTACAACTTTTGACATTACTTTTTATAGCCCTCTTGTTTTTATAGAGCAATGAAAGTTAAGCCTTTAAAAGTAGTTGCCTTTCTCATATGGTCAAACATATTTCTTTTTTATAATACTCTGGTGCTTCATCTTTTTCCATAATTCTCTATTATTACTTATTTTAAGTGTTTTTCCTATCACTTTGAAAAACTTAAATGTCCGTTCTTCATTTGAAAATGTGCCAAAAGTACTAGTCCATGTAAATAGGCAGAAACAGTTACTATAAAAGTGTCAGCATGGTTTAAATGTATTACCTTGATGGCTAGAGAGATACATATGTGTTTTTTAGGTTGTTGGAGTTAAGGTGTATCTAAACAAGAGCTCAGTTCCTATAAAAATAATACAAATTTTTCAGGAACATTAGGTATCTACCAGATACATTAGGTATTTGCCAGAAGTTTTTGTGTTTCTTTTTTTTTTTCTTTTTACAATTGTGTACACAATCATTTTAAGACCTTTTTGAAATAAATAATGCTTTTTGGATTTAAATAGTGTTCTCTTGATTTCTAAAGCACCATTTCTTAATGGTCTTTAATAGCTGCTGATATGCAAGCATTCTTCCTAAATTTTAAAGGACAGCCAAAGAAAATAAATCCTTCACACCAAAAACAAGGACACACACTGTTACTGAGAGCAAGTCAGACAGAGCAGTTCTTTATTTAAACTGTAGACAGATGATAGGTGTATTCTGACATATTCCATGTCTTCCAATATAGCATTATATGAAAAGTAAATTTTATATTGACAAAGAAATAGAGATTTTATTAATTCATATTCACCCCAAAACTAAGAAAAATTAAAAGTCATGTAAGAAATAGCAACATTCTCACAAGAAATCAGTTCTCCCTCCTACCAGCCAGGTACCAGAGTCCTTCTTCCATCCAACCCGAACCTTAGATCACAAAAGCAGTAAATCTTCCAGTATTATTACCAATTTGTGTTCTAACTTGTTCTGTAGGAATGTCTAATATGTTAAATATCCCTCAAGAAATCAGAACCATACCCTTGCCTTTCCTAGGTTATAAAGAATCAAATAGTCACCTAACCCCATCATGTTGCTTCTGATCACTTTAACTCTGTGGCCTTAGTGTAAGATGGAAACACAGGCACTGGGTGTTAATGTCAAAGAGTAGTTTCAGTGCTCTTTTGTAACTGCACTGCCTCATCCATAAGCATTAATCATTTGCTCGTTGAACATACCCTGAAAAAGTCTTTGTGGACAATATCTTTCATGTTTGGTTAATTATATGGTGAGAGCACAAAGCTTTAAAGGCCAGTGTTACTATGTACTGGATCCCCATAAGAGCCAGTCGCTTGACTATGTCACACCATGGACCACCCAGCTCACTCAGATTCCACAGGAATTCAACACTTCTGTTAGAACAATTAAAAATAGAGGCTCTGTTGATGGTAGGTTAACAATATGCTCCTGTTCCTTGATGGATAAAACAATACTGTGCTTTGAAGTTAAGTAGAAAATTGTAGGGCTCATCAGTAACCCAGAAAAGAAAATAGGTTGTCCAGGTGGAACAATTTAGAGGATCTAAATAAATAGGAAATTGTCTGAGTGTACCAATCTTTTACCTAAATTTACCAATAAACACCTGATTTCTCTGGCTTTCTTCTGAAAAACCTGCATCATCAAGAATGAAATCTATAGGTTCTACAAATGAAGAGCAACAGCACTTTTACATGATCAGGTTGTAAAATATCTGTTTGAAAGAATAAAAGAAGCACTTCAATCTTGAACTCAAAATTGAGTCTTGTAAACAGTAAATAATAGTATATGATATCCTGGAAATATATTATGTGACCAGGAAGAATTAAAGAAATTTCCATTAGAATGTGTGGGATTTGTTACACATAAATAAGCAATAATCTAAGAAGGCCTAACCCGGGTTTTTTCACAAAATGAAAAAGAAATAAACAAAGGGTTGAATAGTACAATGAAGACTGTATTACATTCAGACAATAAGGAATTGTCTTTTTATTTGCAGGGCCAAAAATATCTTTATCCATGGTGACAGAAATTTCAGGGTGATATATATGGAAGCCTGAAATGAAAAATTATGAAACTATCTAAGAATAAAAATATAGACTCTCCCTTTTCATAAATATTTAATACATTATTTGATATACTGGCTTGAGTGAAACTCCATAGGCACAGTTTTAAGCATCTTGATTTGGGCTGAGGTCCAGTAAATTATATATTCCCAACGACTATCAGAGCTTTCTTACTAAAAATACATGCTCACACTCTACTTTGAAAATATCCTAAGATAATTATTTCCATTTTCATAGTAACTAGTACAGTTATGACTAGAGTTGTCTTGGGTTTCTAAGGAAAGAAAATTATTCTGAGATACTGTTAATAAGAGAAAGTGTGGTAATAGAGAAGGGTATTTTCTTAAAACTGTGCTAAAGCTGTCATTTTCACTTTTAATGACTTTAAATGTGCTAGACGAGATTTTATTTTCAGTCACAAAAATAAACTATCTGACTCCTTAGTCTATTGCCCACCAATCTTCTAGCCCCTCCCTGTATCAACCTCACAATGGATTTTATTCATCTTGACTGCCTAAAGCCAACGTTTAGTCAACAGAATTTTCCTGACTTGACAACTGCTCAGCCCCTCTAGTGAGAAAATTCAGTGAATGGTAACACCTAGGAAGAAGGCCTATACAGATTTTTCACTCTGTAGATGCCAAGGAAAGCCACTTAAAATCTTTTCTGAAGATAATAGGAAAGGCAAAACATTATGGACAGCTTAGTGCCAATGTCTATAAAAACAAGTTGAAATGAAACAGAGGTTTAATATCAGACTTTCTAGCACCCTCAATGTACAGGAAGAAAGACACCAAAAGAAATACAGGTCATTTCTCATAGTCCTCTTTCATTTGATGACTGTATTTCCCAGTGTTGTTACTTTTAACAAGCCAAATCATGCCAGATTCTCTAGGGGTACTTGCTGTTTGCTGTTTAGTGCTTATCACACAAGGCCATATTAGTGAAATTTTAAAAAGCAAATGCCCATGAATGAATCTAAAGCTTTTTGACTTGAGGTTACCAGACTGAATTTTGTCTAGGATTATTTCCATATTTTTCTACAGTGAAATAGAGGTTAAGCTTTCACATCTTTAAAGGGGATGACTCGAAGACATGCAAAGATGCGTCTCAGAATAGAATTAGATTTTGCTTTAGTGAGCGGGAGAATTCTTCAGTTCCGTTTAATTTATAAGTGCATCATAGACTCAAATTCATCAATTCTCTGCTTGGTGTTCCCCTTCCTGATTTTCCGATAGGATATTGTATTGTATCTTGAATAAGCATTTCTAGAGATATCACTCTTCTTCCCAAAGGCTGGCTGCTCCTCAGGTTGGGAACTGGGGCTGCTCAGTGGGGAGTCCTCATTTGCATCACCTTCCACTTTTAATTGAGAACCCTCTTCATTTTTTTTCTTAAATTCTATCACTCGAACTTCATCTTCATCATCATTGCAATCATCGTCATCATTATTCATTTCTTCATCCCAAACTTCCTCCTCCTCATGTTTAGAATGCAACACATCAACTTGGCTAGGTTTCCGAAATCCCAACCATTCAATTTCAGTTGCCTGGCGAGCTTTGTTCTTCCCATCCTCCTCTTCCTTCTCTTCTAGAAGTTGTTCAGCAATCCTTTCCTTTTGTCTACTTATTTCCTGGTTACTGATGCTCAGAGGAATCTTCTCCCATTGATGTCCTGTAGCAAAATCAATTAGTAATTGAGATACCCAATTCTTTTTTTTTTTTTTAATTTACTTGACAGAGAGAGAGAAATCACAAGTAGGCAGAGAGGCAGGCAGAGAGAGAGGGGGAAGCAGGCTCCCCGCTGAGCAGAGAGCCCGATGCGGGGCTCAATCCCAGACCCTGAGATCATGCCCTGAGCCAAAGGCAGAGGCTTAACCCACTGAGCCACCCAGGCGCCCCGAGATACCCAACTCTTATTCTTTAAATTATGTTTCTGGACAATCATTTCCCTACACATACCTTATAGGATATTATTCTGTGGGTTAATAATATGTTTTACACAATAAAATGGGTTGTACTATCAAATTAGTTTGGAAAATATCACATTAAACACAGTTAAGTAAGCCTCAGAATTTATGCAAGCCTTTAAAATGCCAATAAATATTGTGGATCTCTAAGAAGTTGATGACTCAACTTCATTTGACCATAAAACGTTTTTTTGTTGTTGTGGACTGTTGTATCCAGTGAGACTGATGTTCCTGAGACAGACTTTTAAAATCCTGTCTAGTCTGTAGTGACTAGAAATGTGAACATAGAAAATAAAATATTTGGACCTATCTTTTACACACATACACACACACACATACCACATTCCTCAAGGAAAATTAGAAAAATATCTCACAGGAGAAAAAAAGGTTTTCTTCTAGTAGTAAAAACAATGACTTCTCCCAACTGGGCATGCTCAGAGTAGCACATTCAGTATTTGCCACCATGATTCTCAGAGTTGTGCTAAAGTACCAGTTGTGGAAGGAGGAGCAGGGAGCCATGGGTGGTCAGGAGTCCTTTGTTGGGCTAACAGTGACACCAAGCCCATCAAAGCACACACAATGTCATCTAAGATCTGCCATTGATTTCTAGAGATCCAGACTTTAAAAATCTTGTTGTGGTCATCTCTATATATATTTGTAGATTAGCCTGTCATGTTAGACATATCCCTAATAATGACCAATTAACTCAAGTCGTTTGGTACCGTATGGTGACTTTTACAAGGCTTAATTCATGTCAAATTTCACTTTTCAAACAGATCACATCAGCATATCTTTAACAATATTTATTGAGCTTGCTAGAAAGAATTAGAGTGGAGGTTGTTCTCTGGGCTTTCACCTCTAAAGGGGATACTATGAGAAGCTTCAGTCTATGTGTGACTTTAAAATATTGTCTAGATTGTGTGCCTTGTCAGGCTTCCATTCACTATTCCCTTTCAACACCATAAGAGTCTTTAAATAGAGTGAGAGGCAGTGTTCGTCTTTGTCTTTCCCCATCACAGCTTTCTACTTTCACTGAAAGATGTTCTAAGTCCATTTCCATTCAAGATTTTTCATTCTCTTTTTGTTTTTGTTTGTTTGTTTGTTTTGTTTTCCCAACACAGGGATCATATTGTACACTTACAGAAAGAGATAGAAGTCAAGATGGATTTTCATTCCTAAGTGGTTGTACACAATTCCTATCGGGTTGTTGGTGCCCAGTTAATGTTCTTTACATTATAAATAAATATACATTAGCATGTTTTCTGTAATCTTAAGTAAGCTTTCTTTTATTCTATTTTATCCCATAAGAGCCAAAGAAGCTGATCTTTTTGCTCACAACATGACTCAGGCATGGAGTTGTCATGCATGAAATTACTTCTTGAATTTAAATTATAGTTTTTCCTCAATATTTTTAGCATCTTGCTGTTTTTCAACCCAGGAGTATTCTCTTTGGAGACTTTATAGCTGTTTGTCATTGTGAAAATAGAAGACACCAACATGTGCCTTACAGGAAAAGCATATGTTCCACCAAACACAAAAGAATTCATTCAGGGAAAAATTCACCCTGACACCATCTACTTAAAAATCCAGACTGCTTTCATTCTGTATTTGACAAAACAAAAGATCCTAGCAAACTGTTATCTCCAGTGGATTTCCTGATCAGATATTTGAAGGGGTCTCTGGGCACCTGGGTAGTGCATTTGGTTAAGAGTCAGACTCTTGGTTTCAGCTCAGGTTGTGATATCAAGGTCATGAGATTGAGCCCCCAGTCAGGCTCCATGCTCAGCTCAGAATCTACTTGAGACTCTCTCCTCCTCTCTCTCTGCCCCTCTCCATTGTGTGTGCATGCTGTCTTTCTCCTAAATAAAGAAATAAATGTTAAAAAAAAAAAAAATTGAAAGGGTCTCTACATGCACTTTGAGATCCCTGCCTGTGAGAACTTGTTACATTGGAAACAGAAGGATAAGGGCAGAGCAATTATTTAGTTCATTTCATGGGGCTTAGGGCTTAAGTTTTATAAATTACCTGTGTTAATATAAACACTTAATAATGGTTGTTCCTTACTACATTCCACTGCTACATAGGGACAGCAGATAGTCTGGGAGGTATCCAGGCAAAGTGGACAAACCCAAAATATTGCCAGTCACATCCCTGTCTTCCTTGACATCTACAATTTTATGTGATGTTATAAAATTTTAAAAAAATAATTCCATATTTTGCCTATTAAGGTCCAAACTAAGCTAAATCGCTCAAGGTCTAAAGAACCAACTTCAGTTTTGAGATAAGATGCTTATGGTTGCCAAAGAGGAAATGAGTGATTAATTAATATGTATTTGTCCTGAACTTGATTTGGAAATTGCTTCAACATAAATATCTTCTTAGAAGTAAAATCTAAAAGGTTTTGTGTTTCTTAGTCTCTTGAATTTATCTGAAATATAAGTCACTTAAAAATCAATGTTCTTTTTATTGTCTCATTTTCTAAAAGAACACAATTAAAATACCTGCATTACCTGGTAGATTTCTTTAACAAGAATTAGATAACCATTTTCAGCTTACATAGAAGCTTAGAATTTTTCTATAGATCAAATAAATGTATAATACTATTTTTAAATGTATGTCAATAGTAAGCTTTTGGGATAAACCCATTTTTAAAACATTCACATTTCACAAGGTGCCTGACACAGATTTAGAGACACTAAATAAATCTTAATGGACTAACTTATTAAGAGACTGATACCATTTTGTCAGGTCAAGGCATGCCAATCGGTTAGACCAACCCATGCAGTCTCTGTCTTGATGCTTCTGGAACACTTTTTAAGGTGAAACCCACAGATAATCAAGACTACTCCCTTATCTGCCTATAGCAGCTTTGAGTTTTTGAAGGCACTGTCTGGATTGCTTTTTCAACATCACATTCACAGAACATCCCATGCAAAAACTACCATCCATATTCAGTCAGACAACATCTGTGTACAAAATGGAAGTTCCTCTCACCTTCTCTGAATGTCATTTCATCAACACTTGTTTCTTGGAGAGAAAGATCCGTAATAGCCTTATGAACAATAAAAAGATTCTCTTCTGGTTTTTCTGGGGGGAAAAAATACTCACAAGATTAATACTATATTTAAGCAGTTTAAGTTTAAATAAATTATCAATTTAGACTCTAGCTAGGTAGATCGATTTGATTTGCAATTGTGATCACTAAAAGTTAACTGTTTCACTCTCCCAACTCATTTCTTCATTGGTTCCTACTTATAAACATAAGGATAACCTCTCTTTTTCCATCTAGTAAGTTATAGAACCATGAATTCAGACAAGTTCAGTTATATTTCAGAAGGAAAACCTGAAATGCTGAATTTTCTTTGCTTAAAAAATATCGGGGCTGTCCATAATAATAATAAATAATATAGTTAACATTTAACCAACACTTAGTAATCCTCACGACAACCCTTCAAATATCTGTACTTATATTTCTGCTTTCTGCTAACTGGGAAAGCTAAGGCTTCAGGAGGCTGGGGAAGCTGTCCAGGGTCATAAAGCTATCAAATAAATAAGCCTGGATTTGACCTGAAGCAGAGGGTTGGTCCTTAGCTATCCAGCCCCAGTAGAATAAGAGACCACATTTGGGCAAGGACATGGGTAGGAGGATGGACAGCACATTTCCATCATAACAGTTTGTCAAAAGAATTACGAATGAGTTTACAAATTGAATCGAGCAAATCAAGGAGAAAGGAAAAATGATTTACCTTTTAGAATCTTCTCATCCATGGACCAGTTGCCTACAATATTCCCTTGTAATTTTTCACTTTTCTCTTGATTTCCTTCTGTGGGTAGGTCTTCAAGATGGGGTTCTACGCGGTAGTATGGTGGGGTACCATCCACATCACTGGCTTCCTCATTTGTTTTAGTGATCGATTGTTGACCATTTTCAGGTGGTGTATCCCCATTGCACTCAGCCCGACTAAGTGTCCCTGGAACATCTGTCATGATGTAGAGTTGAGTCCAAGGACGCAGAGAGAGCTATGAGGAAACTGAGTGAAAGGATCCTTGATAGATGCGTTCTCTCCCCTTCAAGTTCTATAGTTCCAACTCTTACTCTAAGAATACAAAGTATTTGCTTCAGTACCTAGTATCAAGGTGCTTTTCCTAAAGGTGTCCAGATAGAGCTTAGAACAGAAGCAATAGGATTTGTCAGATTTGCCACCAGCCCAGAAGCAAGCATCCAGCCAATCACCACCTTCTTTGTCTCTGAGCAGCCCACTTGCTGAATTAATGGCAGCATTTTGATTTACATAAACAAACAATCTGAGGCAATCAGGCTTTTGTGTTGGCATGTAGAAGGGGACTTTCAGCTTGTCAATCCCCCTCTGGGAACAGAGATTTTTGTCCCTTTTCATAATGGCCCTTTGTCACTTTCCTTGTAACAGGAGCCACAATTGTTCCACAGCTTTAATCCAGAGAGAATGACCACCTTGAGGCATATTAGTTCTATGTAACCAGCTTAACATTTCCAAACGGATTTTGTTCAAGTAAAACCTTAGCTATTTTGTAGGGGATAATGGCATCGTTTCTTATTCATTAAAGAATAAAATCAGCTTATCAAAAACCTGTAAATAGGACAACTTTATTGTAAGTGGTTCTGGCAGCAGATTCCATGGTGTGCTTCAGGAGTCCAGAGGAAAGACCTAAGGAAAAAAACAAACAAGAAATTCTACCATCTTGCCAATACCAAAAATTTTACATTTAGATAATTCATTTGATCTGTAGCTTCTTATTCTCTAGTTTATTTATGTTTATTAAGGCCCAAACTATCCTTTGAACCCATAATATAATTTTCTCCATGGAGTTTTCCCTTTCCCCTATCAGATTTATTCTCAATATTCCCTACTGATGTTGCATGATGCTGGTAAAATCATATAGCACCAACATAGCCTGCCCTTGGGGGAAACAGATAATTATGGAAAACATCCACTACTTACCAACCTTTACTTTTTTTATTTATTTTTTATTTTTTTATTTTTTAAATTTTAATTTAATATTTTTAATTTTATTTTAATTTTTAATTTTAATTGTTTTAATTTAATTTAATTTATGACACAATGAAAACTCACTAAGTTTCAATGGAAACACATTAAAGATTCACATTATTTTCCTTGTGATATTGAAAATATGAATTCAAATACATGTTCACAAACAAAATGTGCAAAAGTTTTTTCAGTGAATAATTCACTAATTTGGGCACCTGGGTGGCTCAGTGGGTTAGGCCTCTGCCTTCAGCTCGGGTCATGATCTCAGGGTCCTGGGATCGAGTCCCACATCGGGCTATCTGTTCAGCGGGGAGCCTGCTTCCTCCTCTGTTTCTGCCTGCCTCTCTGCCTACTTGTGATTTCTGTCAAATAAAAATTAAAAAAAAAATTCACCAATTTGTTTTCTGTTAGAAACAAAATGAAAACCAACTTCTTCAAAGTTTAGTTTCTTTTCCATATGAAAATTTGACTCATGGTACTCCAATAATTTAAGAACTGGAAAAAAATCCTTTAAGACTTAAAGGAGACAGAGCAATAACATCAAATACAACTGAAAAATAAAAGTGTTAGTTTGAGAATAAACTCTAATAAAACAGTATGATTCCTTATAAAGTAGATCAGCATTTTCTAGTGATTGGTTATCCAGATTAAATCTAGATAAAATCTAGATTAAAACCATACAAGTTGCTCTGACAAACAGGACCAGAAAGAGGGTAGTTTAATGTAGCCAAATGCTTTAAAAATAAGAATTGCTGCATTAATTTCTTAGAATATCACAATGATCACTGAGTTAAGAAACCAGGTGTTTTTTTTTTTAACTTAAATTCAAGTCACTTAACATATAGTGTAGTACTGGTTTCAGAAGTAGAATTTAGCAATTCATCCCTTACCTATAACACCCAGTGCTCATTACAAGTGCCCTCCTTAATATCCATCACCCACTTAGCCCATCCCCCGCCCCGCTCCCCTCCAGCAACCCTCAGTTTGTTCTATATAGTTAAGCCTCTTATAGTTTGCTTCCCTGTTTCTATCTAATTTTATTTTTCCTTCCCTTTCACTACATTCATCTGTTTTGTTTCTTAAATTCCACATATGAGTGAAATCATATAGTTTTCTCTTTCTTTGACTGACTTATTTCACTTAGCATAATACACTCTAGTTCTATCCATTTTGCTGAAAATGGGAAGATTTCATTCTTTTTGGTCACTGAGTAATATTCCATTATTATATATGGGATTATATTCCATAATATTTCATTTTATATATATATATACACATATATATGTATATATACAGATATATCACACATATATCATATGTATATCATATGTATATCACACATATATCATATACATATCACATCTTCCTTTTCCATTCATCAGTCTATGTATTTTTTAAATTTTTTTCTTTAATTTCCTGGTTAACCTGTTCATTTTTTAGTAAGATGTACTTTAACCTCCATGTATTTGTAGTCTTTCCAAATTTTTTCTTATGCTTGACTTCAAGTTTCATAGCACTGTGTTCTGAAAATACACATGGTATGATCTCTATCTTCCTATACTGCTTGAGGCCTGATTTGTGATCCAGTGTGTGATCTATTCTGGAGAATGTTCCACATGCATGCAAAAAGAATGTGTATTCTGCTACTTTAGGATGAAATGCTTTGCATGTATCTGTTAAGTTCATCTGGTCTAATGTGTCATTCAAAGCCATTGTTTTCTTGTTGATCATCTGCTTAGATTATCTGTCCATTGCTATGCATGGGGTGTTAAAGTTCCCTACTATTATTGCATTATTACCAATCAGTTTCTTAAAGTCTGTTATTAATTGATTTATATATTTGGTTGCTTCCAAGTTGGGGGTGTAAATACTTAAATTATCACATCTTTCTGTTGGATAGAGCCCTTTATCATGATATAGTGTCCTTCTTCATTTCTTATTACAGTCTTTGGTTTAAAATCTAGTTTGTCTGATATAAGGATGGCTACTCCAGCTTTCTTTGATGTCCATTAACATGATAGAAGCTTCTCCATTCCCTTATTTTCAATCTGGAGGTGTTATTGGGTCTAAAATGAGTCTCTTGTAAGTAGCATATTAATGGGTTTTGTTTTGTGGGGTTTTTTTTTTTAATCTATTCTGATACCCTATGTCTTTATATTTGAGCACTTAGTACATTTACATTGCAAGTAATTACTGAAAGATATGAATGTTGTGCTAGTGTATTATGTGGAAAGTCACTAGCCTTATAGATTGTCTCTGTTCCTTTCTAGTCTTTGTTGCTTTTGGTCTCTCTTTCCCACTCAAAGCATCCCCTTTAGTATTTCTTGCAGAGCTGGTTTAGTGTTCATGAACTCCTTCAGGTTTTTCTTGTCTTAGAAACCCTTTATCTCTCTTTCTATTCTGAATGACAACCCTCCTGGATAAAGTATTCTTGGCTGCATATTTTTTCCCAATTAGCATGTTGAATATATCATGTCACTGCTTTCTGACCTGCCAAGTTTTAGTGGACAGGTCTGCTTCACACAGACACACTTTATGTGTCTACTCTTATAGGGTAAAGACCTTTTGTCTCTAGCTGCTGTCAGAATTCTCTCTTTATCTTTGTATTTTGCAAGTTTCACTATGATATGTCTTGGTGTTGACCTGTTTTGTTGATTTTGAGGAGAGTTCTCTGGGCCTCTTGGACTGAAATGCCTTCTTCCTTCCCCACATTAGGAAATTCTCAGTTGTAATTTGTTCAAATAAACATTCCACCCCTTTTTCCCACACTTCTTTTTCTGGGATTCCTATGACATATACATGTCTTTATTCATGATTTAATAGCTTCTTTTCTGTCTTATTTTCAGCTTCATTATTTTCCATAATTTTATCTTCTAGATTATGAGACTCTTAAGAGCAGGAAGTGACAAAAATTCAACAAAATGTCCAGCTATAAACATAGAAATGGAGAAATGCTCACATTAACTTTATTTATTTATTTATTTATTTATTTATTTATTTATTAAAGATTTTATTTATTATTTATTTGACAGAGATCACAAGTAGGCAGAGAGGCAGGCAAAGAGAGAGAAAGGGAAGCAGGCTCCCTGGTGAGCAGAGAGCCCGATGCGGGACTCGATCCCAGGGCCCTGGGATCATGACCTAAGCCGAAGGCAGGGGCTTTAACCCACTGAGCCACCCAGGTGCCCCCTCACATTAACTTTAAACACTTGACCCCAATCATTCACAATTCCCTCAAGACTGCTGTACACTTCAATTCAAGGATGTAGCGGAGTCTAGAGAGTTTAATCTCTCTCTTACACCTAGATTTTTGTGACCCTATAGCATTGTGCAACTTATACTTTAGTTTTTATGGAAGTTTCATTTTTCTTTTTTGGATTATCTTCTTTCTGACTGCTTTGGTTTGACCTTTTTTTCCTAACATTAGAATTATTTCATATTCGGAACACAGAAAAATAACTCTGAGTTCTGTGTAATCAGAATATTCACCTCTATAAAAAGCATAGTTTTAATGTAGTCCTATGGAATAACCATTTACTTGTAACTGGATTATAACATGCATTATCTTTCCTACAAGCACATGGCAACACAAGATACATTTAGTACCAAGATCTGTGCTAGATCACCAAGATCTACCAAATAAAATATAGGGTATTTCGTCCATAAAAAGTAAGTTGTCACTGATTGTTTGTAATGTTGGGGAGGAACAACTTTTCTGTACCTTTCAAGACTCTTTTTTGGCCCAAGAATTAAATTGACATGAGACAGATTAACAAGAGAAAAGCAAATGAAAGTTTAATAACACATATACATCCTATATACACAAGAGAGACCCTGGAAAACTAAGTAACTCTCTGACACAGCTGAAGCCATCAGTTTAAATACCGTTTTTAGCTAAAGATAAAAGATGTTAAGGACGGGGAGTCAGTTATGGAAGCTTACCAGGAAAAGCACAATAAATAAGGGTAAGTTTTTTATGTGGATTTAAGTCATTGTCTTCCCCACTGATAAGAGTTTCTAGAGATTGAGTCACTCTCTGCTTTATGATAGAGCAGCAAGACTCCCTTACAAATGGAAATTTCCTTTGTAAATGTGAATATCTCTTAAAAAGGGTAATTTGTACCTGTTTTTTCAATTTTTTTTTCCTATAGTTTCTTAAAAGCTTAAAATAATCAACATCCCAGAATCATATATTGGGGTGACAAAAATTTTTCCTCCTCCATAACAACCTATGATTTGCACAGTATGTTAAAATTTGCACTAATGATTCTTACTTCAAATACTATTGCATAATCTCCATGCATGAAATATGACTTTTTTTAGATGGTTTAGTCAGGTGTTTGTCTTTTTTCCTAGTTATTATGCTTAATGATAAAGGACATCATATAAATGTAACCATTATCAAGTCTATAACAAAATATGATAATAATGAAAGGATCATCACCTGGGAATAGAAAGTATCAAAATAAAAGTACATAAATATCCAACTCCATTTGTCAAATACCAAATGATTAATGTTAAGACTATATTGGGTCCAGAAATAAGATTTGGGGAAAACTCATAAAATTCTGACCTTTAATAATATGTAAAAAGCCAAGCCAC